CTGCTCAGGGCCAGACATTCTGCAGTGCCTCCCCCTTCCCCTGGGTTGGTACTGCTTTAACCCCCTTCAGGTGGCCAAGTGAGCAGCTCTGAGTTTCATGCCAAAGGGGATTGCTGCCTGCTCCCTCCTTGCCCAGGAAAGGAAGAATTTATACCCACTGTCTGCCCCTGGCTGTTCCTCCATTGTTTCTGCCTTCTGACAGAACTGTGGGCAGTGTGAGGTGTTGCCTGCTGCCACCCTCCTGATTCCCTTCAGGGGTCTCGGCCCAGTCTTGCCAGGGGCTGGCCAGTGGGGCTCTTGTGTGCACCCGGACGACCTGCACCTCCAGTGTCCCGCGAAGCCCTGGATTGGGCCTGAGTGGGCCTGTTTTGCACAGACCCGGCCTACTGCTGCTGTTTTGCTCTCTTCAGGGTATTCCTTGCTGTCTGCAGCCCTAATCTGCACTTGGGAGAATAGCTAGAGGCCATTGTTTTCTACTCTCCTATGCCTCTACAGCTGGAATGGAGGGAACGTCTATCCTGTGCCTTTGTACGTTGCCAGTGTTTGTCTTGAATCTCAGAGGCTTCTTCCTACTTGGACTTTTCAGCCATCCTGGAAGTGTAAAGCTGTTGGCAGCTCTTAGATATAAATGCCATGCATTTTGTATAACTGTGTGCCTGGGTGCTTTGGAGGCTGTAGTGGAATGTTACTGTAGATCAGGGATGCCTCCCTAAGGCTCATGGGCTCAGAGCTGGGGCATTAGGAGGGTGACTGCATCATGGGACCGACTCAGGTGACTTGCTGTTGGGAGGGAGCTTCTCATCGGAGGGAGCACGAGGAGATGGGTGGAAGACACGGGGTGACCTCCCAGTGTAGGACCCCAGGCAGCTCCAGTCCAACCAGGAGACACCCGTTTGTCATGAGGGGCAGGAGGGAGCCCAGGTGGAGAGCACCTGGGATTGTGGCAGCAGCAGGCCCTGCAGCTACAGTGGCACCCGATGGCTTGTGGCTTGGCTCCTCTCTGCTTCCTGCAGCCTGGGGCCAGGCCCTGTTGTGCCCCCCTGTTCAGCAGAAGGTGGCAGTGCTGACAGTGGGCCTGGGCCACGATTCAGATGCTCACTCTGGATCTCTGTGCACACTAAGTCCTTGCCTTGCTTTCTCAGTTGGCACAATGGATGACAGAGTCATATGTCACCAGAGGAGCAGGTGACCCAGGAAAACCATGAGGATAGGCACTCGCAAAGACCAAAATGTTGATCTGCATGTCCCCAGGCCTGAATCTCGTGGGGGTGGGTTGGAGTCACGTGTGGGCCCGGAGCAGATGGGAGGAACTTGGTGAGGGGGATGGGCTCTCACAGAGCCCGTGTGTGGGCAGGCCTGGGGGTTGTCCCTGGGAGCTTTGCAGGTCCAGAGGCTTCCCCCTGTGGCCAGGGCCAAGACATGGCCCTTTGGCCCCAGGCCAGCAGAACGTTGAATCCTGGCCTGAGAAAGCAGCTGGGAGCGGCAGAGCTTGGGGGGCTCTGGTCCTTGGAGGACTGTTTCTTAACGTCTCCCCATCATCCTCAAGGTGCTTTTTGGGTCTCCCACACTGGCTGAGGGTGGCCGAAGGAGAAAGTTCTTGCTAAGATCACAAAACCGGTCAGTGGGGACAAGAATGGAGGTACCTGTGTGGTTAAGCTTCAAAAAATGCCTAGATACTACTCTAGTGAAGATGTATCCCAAAAGCTGTTGAGCACGGCACGAAACCCTTCAGGCATCATGTGAGGAAACTTCAAGCTAGCATCACTCCCAGCACCATCTTGATCATCCTCACCGGGTGTCACAGAGCCAAGAGAGTGGTCTTCCTGAAGCAGCTGGCCAGTGGCTCTTATTTGTGATTAGGTTGCTTAGCCTTAATCGTGTTCCTCTATGAAGAACACACCAGAAACTTGTCATTGCCACCTCTACAAAAGTTGATATCAGCAAAATGAAAATCCCCAAACACCTCACCTCTGAAGATGCTTACTTCAAGAAGCAGCAGCTGCGGAAACCCAGACACCAGGAGGGTGAGGTCTTTGACACTGAGAAAGAGGGACACCAGATCTCAGAGCAGTGCAAGGTGGGTCAGAAAGCGAAGGACTCAAAGATTTTAGCAAAAATCAAAGGTGTTCCTCAGCTCCAGGGCTATCTGCGGTCAATTTTTGCTCTGACAAATGGAATTTATCCTCATAAATTAGTGTTCTCAATTTCTTACTAAGAACCTAATGAAATAATTGATACATTTTTTGTGTGTCCTTTAAAAAATAATGATGAAGGGGGCCTGCCCCTTAGCTCAGCTCTTTAAGTGGCTGCTTCAACAAAGCAGTCAGGCTCAGGTTGCTGTGGTTCGATCCCCACAACTCAAGCCAGCCAATCATGCCCTGAAGGCATTCGGAACAACAACAACAACAAAAAAAAACCAAAAAACCTTCTGCCTTTTTGGGGCCAGGGAGATGGCTCAGTGGAATAAGCGCTTCCCTGGCAAGCGCAAGGGCCTGAGTTCAATCTCCGGTTCCGTAAAAAAAAAGATGAAAATCATGCTATTTCTGGTGTTACAGAGAGGAGTTGATTTTACTGCTGATTATCAAAGCTAGTTAATTATCAAACAATGAAAAAAGATGCCCACTGTGGTCTGGCTGAGCAGAAGCAGTACTTGTTACAGAAACTGTTCAAATGTAGCAAAATAATAATCACAGACCATCACACGTGTCCAATGATTTGTTCTTTCTTTCTCTCTCTCTTTCTTTCTTTCTTTCTTTCTTTCTTTCTTTCTTTCTTTCTTTCTTTCTTTCTTTCTTTCTTTCTTCTTTCT